AGAGAACAGAGAGGCCCTAACAGAGTGCCAGGAATGACTTTCAACCCAAGGAAGTCAGGGAGTAATCCCCACTCAGGAAAGATAGCCAGGAAGACGACCTTCTACGTATGAGGTACCTTTCAAAAGAAGCTTGGGTCTCTAACCCAGCTTCAGAGAATATACTCAGAATCTTAAGAATCAAAATCTTTCCTTACCAGCTTCAACGGACGTTTGTCTGGAACAATGGTTCACGAATCTGACTCACTATTGGATCCCCGATCAATCAGTCAGGAGTGAAGACAAAGGCTTCAAAGGTGCACATTTGGGTCCTGGGTGAGAGGTCCGGGGGTCCAATGATGAATCGTATCCTATCCGAGTCACAGCACTATAACTGTTAAAGAAAAAAGTACTCAATGATATTTGTTAAAGCATGGCAAGGCAGACTTTATTCAGAACCATCTTGGTAAGTATAGGAACCATAGCTATGGGATTTTTCAGTGGAGGACAAAGATTTGGCTCAACTCTGAATAGAGCAAGGCCAAGTGTAAATTTACAGCCAAGGAGCAGGGTGGGCATTAGTGGATGAAAAATTACTAAAAGTAACATCTGGAGTAAGGGAGACTTTGGCTAAATCGACCTAACAGGATTCTTGCTGAAGACAAGCCAGGGTGATCAGGTATCACCTGGGGAATGGCGTAGGACTGGGGAATGGTGTAGGATGATGAAGAGTTTTTGCTAAATTGGTTTTACAGGGTGCTTGCTAAAATTGGATTTTACAAGCAAGTGCACAGATAAGATAGGAAAAGGTTTAAGAACCTGCCTAAAGTTTGGTCAAGCAAAGAATCTTTGCTACAATTCCCAAATTACTAAATGACACCCTTAAGATTGAAACTGCAATGTTCGCTTTCACCTACTATTTAAAATATATGTTACACTGAGTTCTCACAATAATAGTTAAAACTTTCTTGCTGGCCCTCCAGGTTATCACTGGCAACAAAAAGGTAACACTGATTTGTATTAAGTCATAATTTACCATTAAACTAAGCCTAGAAGAAATAACTCAAAATGTCTCAACAGACCAAAAAAAGTTAC